TGCTGGGCATGGAGCCCAATGAGGGGCTTGAACTCACAACCCTGAAATTAAGACCTGAGCTGAGATCAAAATTTCGACACTTAACTGAGCTACCCAGAATGTCCCTGGGGAGTGAGTTTTATAAACTCTTTATGTATTTTGGATACTAAACCTTTATCAGATATGTCATTTACAAATATCTTCTCCCATTCCATAGGTTGTCTTCTAGTTTTGTTGATGGCTTCATTCACTGTACAGAAGCTTTTAATTTTGATGTAATCTTAATAGTTTATCTTTTTAAGATTTTATTTATTTATTTGACAGAGAGATGACAAGTAGACAGAGAGGTAGGCAGAGAGAGAGAGGAGGAAGCAGGCTCCCTGCTGAGCAGAGAGCTCGATTAGGGGCTTGATCCCAGGACCCTGGGATCATGACCTGAGCAGAAGACAGAGGCTTTAACCCACTGAGCCACCCAGGTGCCCCTCAATAGTTTATTATTGCTTTTGTTTCCCTTGCCTCAGGAGACATATCTGGAAAGAAGTTTTGATAACCAATGTCAAAGAGGTTACTCTGTTTCAGGTCTCATATTTAGGTCTTTAATCCATTTTGTACAGTGTTAGAAAAAGTGTTCCAGGCGCACCTGGGTGGCTCAGTGTTGGAGGACACATAGAGTAACAAGATGCTGAATCCTGGGCACTTTGGTTCAGGGGCTTCCTCAAAACCTACTGGTGGTCATCATCTTCTTTAGAGAGACTGAAAAGTTTGCGGATTCTGCTAGCTCTTTTGGGTCCTGGGCAACGAGGCACAGTAGTATCAGTGAGTCCAGGATTATCCTTCTTCCCTTTCTTTTTCTGAACAATGACCAAATTGAAAACACTGAGATTGGCATCCACAACCCCAAACAGATTGGCACTTTCTTTCTCCAGTCCTCCTTGGTCTGTAGCAGGAATGCTCCTTACTCAGCAGCACGCAGACACAGCCTTGGGTCAAGACATGCTGTTTCTTGGGGAAGCCTTGTTTGTCATTGCCACCACTGATCTGGACCACATAACCCTTCCATTCTTCACCCAAGACATCAGCAGCAACTTCTTTGGCCAAACACTTCTCCTAAAATGTATGAGGTTTCCATTCATCATCCACTTCAATGAGTTCCTCACAGCCAGTAGCTGGGAAAGAGATGTTCAGCTTCACCCGACCACCTCTGAGGTGCCACAACAAAGACAACAGCGTCTTGAATCTCTTCATCAGTATTTTATAGTTTTCAGAGTACAGATATTTCACCTCTTTGGTTGGGTATATTTCTAGGTATCTTTTTGTTTTGGGTGTAACTATAAACGGGACTGATTCCTTAATTTCTCTTTCTGCTACTTCACTGTTGGTGTATAGAAAAGCAGCAGATTTCTATATGTTGATTTTGTATCCTGAGACTTTATTGAATTTGTTTATCGGTTCTAGCAGGTTTTTTGGTGGAGTCTTTAGGGTATCTATATAGATACCCTATATCTATCATGTATCATGTATCATGTCATCTGTGAACAGTGAAAATTTTACTTCTTTCTTATTGATTTGGTTGCCTTTTATTTCTTTTTGTTGTCTGCTGTCACTAGGACTTCTAGTACTATGCTGAATAAAAGTGGTGAGAGTGGACAATCCTGTCTTGTTCCTGACCATAAAGTTCTCGGTCCCCCCCCCCGCCCCGCCATTTAGGATATTAGTTGTGGGTTTTTCATATGTGGCCTTTATATGTTGAGGTATGATCCCTCTAAATTTACTTTATTGAGGGTTTTTTTTTAAATCATGAATGGATGTTATACTTTGTCAAATGTTTTTTCTGCATCTACTGAAGTGATCATCACATGGTTCTTACCTTTTATTAGTGTGATATATCACATTGATTTGCAAATACAACTACCTTTGCAAGCCACAAATAAATCCCACTTGATTGTGGTGGAAGATTTTTAAAAATGTATTCTTGGTTTTGGTTTGCTAGTATTTTATTGAGAATTTTCACATCTATAGTCATCAGGAATACTGGCCTGTAGTTCTCTTTTTTAGGGGCGTCTTTATCTAGTTCTGAGATCAGGATAATGCTGTCCTCATTAAATGAATTTGGAAGTTTTCCTTCCTTTTCTATTTTTTGGAATAGCTTGAGGAGTCGGTATTAACTCTTCTTTAAATGTTTGGTAGAATTTGCCTGTGAAGCCACGTGGTCCTGGACTTTTATTTGTTGGTTTCTTGATTATTGATTCAGTTTCTTTGCTGGTAATCAGTTTCCTATTTCTTCCTGTTTCAGTTTTGGTAATTTGTATGTCTCTAGGAATTTACCCATTTCTTCTTGGTTGTCCAATTTGTTGGCATATAGCTTTTCATAATATTCTCTTGTAATTGTTTGTATTTCTGTTCTATACATTATTTCTCCTTTCTAATTTGTGATTTTATTTATTTGGGTCCTTTTTGTTTCTTTTTGATAAATCTCACTAAAGGTATATCAATTTTATTAATTTTTTTCAAAGAACCAGCTTCTGGTTTCACTGATCTGTTCTATTTTTTTTTCCTTTTCTTAGTTTCTGTATCATTTCTTTAAAGATTTTATTTATTTATTTGACAGAGACAGACACAGTGAGGGAGGGAACACAAGCAGAGGGAGTGGGAGAGGGAGAAGCAGGCTTCCCACCTAGCAGGGAGCCCGATCTGGGCTCTATCCCACGAGCCGGGGATCATGACCTGAGCCAAAGGCAGATGCTTAATGACTGAGCCACCCAGGTGCCCCTGTATCATGTATTTCTGCTCTGATCTGTATTTCCTTCCTTCTGCTAGCTTTAGGCTTTGTTCGTTGTTCTTTTCTAGCTCCTTTAGTTGAAGGTTGTATTGTTTATTTAAGATTTTTCTTGCTCGAGATAGGCCTGTATTACTATCTATTTCCTCTTAGGACCACTTTTGCGGCACCCCAAAGGTTTTGGACAAGTGTGTTTTCATTTTCATGTATTTTTAAAAATTTCTTCTTTTATTGCCAGGTGGACCCATCCATTGTTTAGTAGCATCTTATTTAACTTCCACGTATTTTTTGGTCTTTCCAGATATTTTCTTGTGGTTGACTTCTGGTTTCATAGCTCTGTGGCCAGAAAAGGTGCATGGGATGACTTCAATCTTCTTGTATTTGTTGAGACCTGTTTTGTGGCCTCATATGCTATCTATTCTGGATAATGTTCCATGTGCACTTGAAAAGTATGTATATTCTGTTGTTTTAGGATGAAATGTTCTGAATATATCTGCTAAGTCGACTTGTCCCATTGATATAATAGGGAGGTTAAAGTCCCCTACTATTAATGTATTATAATCATAACTAGTCCTTTATGTTTGTTATTATTGTTTTATGTATCTGAGTGCTCCCATGTTGGGTGTACACATATTTACAATTGTTATACCTTCTTGTTGGATTGTCCCCTTTATTATTATATAGTGCCCTTCTTTTTTTTTAAGATTTATTTATTTATTTGAGAGAAAGAGAGCAGAGGGACGGGCAGAAGAAGATGGAGAGAGAATCCCAAGCAGACTCCATGCTCAGTGTGGAGCCCAATGCAGGGCTCGACCTTTAGGTCTAAAATGAGTCACTCGTAGGTCACATATGAATGGGTCTTCGCCCCAAAATCCTCAGTAAGAAATGAATTTACACTGTGACCCATTATACATATATGCGAAGTGTGTACATATACACTCATAAACAGGTCACACAAAATGGTATTTATCCTTTTTATGGTACACGCTCATCGTTTCTCCTCTCCTCTATTTCATTTTTTTAATGCTGTTTTAAGATTTAATTTATGTATTTGACAGACAGAGACCACAAGTAGGCAGAGAGGCAGACAGAGAAAGAGGAGGAAGCAGGATCCCTGCTGAGCAGAGAGCCCGATGCGGGACTCAATCCCAGGACCCTGGGATCATGTCCTGAGCGAAGGCAGAGGCTTTAACCCACTAAGCCACCCAGGCGCCCCTAATGCTGGTTTTTATATACTAAATTGATTTCACAATCCATTACTGGGTCCTGACCTATAGTTTAAAACAGGGATGTACAACACATTTTGAGACACATACTTATATTTCTTAAGTTAATCCACTTGGAATTGTAAAATTCTAAGAAACAAATACATATTCCCCTAGAAATATGAAAAATATTTCTCTTTCCTGGCACATATAATATGTGAAGAGTTGGAAATCATTCTGAAGAATAAAACAGGTGGACATCTGAGTCATAGCCACTTGGAATGCAGATAAACAAAAAACAGAGTCTGCGAGGGAGCCCAAATGAAGAGTGGTAGGAACTTACCAGAACTCAGCCAACCTGCCCAGTGGCAACAAGAGACTGGATTATCAATGCTGTGAAGCCAGCTCATTTTCCTTTTGCTAAATGAAATGATTAAAAGACTCCTGGGATTGGGCTTCTGGGGGGCGTGTAGCCAGTTGAGCATCCAACTCTTGGCTTTGGCTCAGGTCATGACCTCAGGGTTATGGGATCAAGCCCCACATCAGGCTTTGTGCTCAATGCAGAGTCTGCTGAAGATTCTCTCTCCCTTTTCCTCCTCGCCACCCCTCCACACCAGCCCTGTGCTCTCTCTCTAAAATAAATGAATAGGGGCGCCTGGGTGGCTCAGTGGGTTAAAACCTCTGCCTTCAGCTCGGGTCATGATCTCAGGGTCCTGCGATCGAGCCCCATGTCAGGCTCTCTGCTCAGCAGGGAGCCTGCTTCTCCCTCTCTCTCTGCCTGCCTCTCTGCCTACCTGTGATCTCTGTCTGTCAAATAAATAAATAAAATCTTTAAAATAAAATAAAATAAATGAATAAATCTTAAAAAAAAAAAAACTCTTGGAATTGGAAAGAAACTTAAAATATCAAATTCTATTTTATCCCATCCAACAACAAGAGTAAATCAGCATTCCTTTGAAAATCTGAGCACTGACTTTGGTCCTATCCCAAAGAGTTAACTTCAATTAGAAAAACGATTAAAAACAATTTCATTAAAACACTGTTCAATCATCTCCTTTTTTTCTCCCCCAAACAATGACCTGACTTTTATTAGCCAAGGGAGAGCAGCTTGAAGAGAAATAACAAACATAAGATACATCTTTAGGGTCCGTAAGTACATCATGTATTTATAATTTAAGTGTCACTTTTAAAAGGCTACTATCCATCAGTTCATTGAAACGTACCAACTTGTATCACAGACTGCCTTATCAACTGAGTTAATGTCCGCTGTCCTTCGGCTCAGGAGACCATCCTTTGTATCTGACCTTGGTCTGAAATGGCATCAGAAAGGATGCTGTTCAGTGGTTTAAGGTTCATACCTTGAAGGTAAACATGGCTCTGGAGGCAGGTGCTTTACTTCAGGAAGATTTCCACCTGGCTCCGTGGCTCTGCACATCTGTCCCCTCCTTCCTGGTTACCTCTATGCCACCAACAGCCAAATGGAAGAGAAGCAAAAGCTCATGCACAGCCAGTGTGGTGGCAGTCTTTGAGGGGTACGTGCTCCAGTCTGGTCGGGAATGGCTTGCTGGAGCCTCCCTCCTGGTGAAGAGCTTATCATCCAACATTCATGGAGTCCTCTGGGATTGGCGACAGCGTCCCTGGTCCGTAAGTTCAGAATGTGCTTTCAAGCAGGCAGTGACATCCACACCCGGTGGGACACACCTCCTGGGTCCGAAACCACTCCATCATGTGGCTGGTGTGCCCACCATGCCCGCAGGTCAGGCAGAAATTGGATGATCCTCGTACCGCCACGTGGCAGATGGCACACTGGAATGTGAAGCCTTTGCAGATGGCACACTGCGTGCCGCGGACCTCGCTCCGGCAGTGGCTGCAGTACACGCCGAACTCTGCGGATGGGTGGAGGTGGCCAAAACAAGACACGCGGAAGGTTAGTTCTGCGAAACGCAACTGGGCATGGTGAGTGAGAATAATGTCTTCATGTGAGGAGTCTGCAAGGATTCTATTACAACAAAGATTCTTTTTTTTTTTTTTTTTAAACAGCAGATGCCCTTCTTCCACAATCTTGCTAAGTCTTACAAAGACACACCGCTGTCACTGCAGGCTGGGTGCAGGGGGACAGTGTAGGAGATGCCTGGCTGCTGGGAGGCCCAGGGTGAAAAGCCCAGGCGATGGCTACACCTCATCCTCTCCTACGCTGACGACTGCATGGGCCTGGTTCATAGAGGTGGTCACCAACTGTTGGCTGACAGAAGGTCACTGAAGGACTCAGTGACACCCAGCAACACCTGATCACTGTCACCAGTCCTCCCTATTTGAACACCAAGTGGCACAGATGCGCCCTGTCAGGATCCTGAAGTCAGGACCGCCGGGTCCCCAGCAACCTGGAAGAGACCCCGAGGGCTAAGCCCACCACCTGCATGTCCTAGTGCACCTCGGGCATGACCCCGAATCCAGGTGGCCCATGCGGACCCCCGTCTCCCCTACCCAGCTTCCAGTGTGCTTCCCCAGGAACAGACCATGGCCACACACTCTCCTCCGACGGCGCCCTCTGTCTGGCCCTGCCTAGAGCCCGCTGCCTGCCGCCTCTACGGGCCTCCGCAGGAAAGGCTGCTTCCCTCTTGGGTCCCAAGGAGCACTGGGGCGGCAGCGGCAGACCCGCGCCCCATTACTGCCTCAAGACCATCACCTCTCCCCTGGAGGAAATGCCACCTGGCTTCGCCGCCCTTACCTCTTCGCTGCCCTCACCTGCAGCCCTCTGGACACACATTCCCAAACCCCGTTCTCTCATGACTTCTGTTCACGGTTTTCTTTCTTCTCTTGACCCCAGTTCTTAGCACCATCCCCAGTGCCTTCAAAACCCAACCCCTGAACCTCTGCACACCCGACCTCCCCAGCAAGGGCTGCCTTCACCCTTTCTGGCGACAGTTTCCCTTGAGGCCAGACCGATGACATGGGCCAACATTATCATCACGTTTTTGGAAGTCTCCCCAACTCTCCCTCCATGGCACGAACCAGAACCCCCAGGCCAATGAGCGCTACCGGGCTGCCTACCCCACATCTGCCCCCAGCATTCCTGAGGGAAGGTGCGCCCGCAAGATACGCTTCTCACTAAATACACAACAACCAACCAGCAGACTCCCAGGGCTGCAACGCGGCGGTGCTGCCATTTTCCCGGGGGTGCTTCTTGCCTCCACCACAGCCCGTGTGCCCCTGCACAACCAGCACTCCCCTCTCTCACCTGCTGGCCTCCCCTCTTCCCTAAGAGAAGCCTTCATCTCTAGCCACCAAACCTTCAAATTTTCCTACTTGTTTCTCTTTTCCTTCTACCTCCTACAACAGAGGAAGGCTTTTTTCTTGAACCTGAGCCAATTTCTTTGACTCAGAACAAATGGCAGTCACAAAAATGTACCAGTAAAGACTTTTAAAATACATGGTAACCAAGGAAAAATTTTATCATGGTCCTAGTTCAGGTAAATCCTGAGATTAATTAGGCTGGTTTGATAAGTTTGGTGAAAAATATCCATGTCTTGTCCCTCTATGCACAACTTCTAGGTAAGAGTTTGGTTTATGTTCTTGTGAAAAGCCTAATTAGTTTAAATTCTTGAATTTCCTTTACTGGTTTTATTGGTTGGACAAGATTCAACCTTTAAAATTATGAGAATGTGAAAGTTGTGTATTCAATAAATTGAATTATGTCTTTAAAAGGGGGTTGTTTGGGCGCCTGGGTGGCTCAGTGGGTTGAGCCACTGCCTTTGGCTCAGGTCGTGATCTCAGGGTCCTGGGATCGAGTCCCGCATCGGGCTCTCTGCTCAGCAGGGAGCCTGCTTCCCTCTCTCTCTCTGCCTGCCTCTCTGTCTACTTGTGATCTCTGTCTGTCAAATAAATAAATAAAATCTTTAAAAAAAAAGGGGGGGGGTTGTTCTTTGACATTTGGGATAACTGTAAATGAAAACCCAATTATTCTCCAGATCTATCTGGGTAAAATTATTAAAATGTCATCTCCCTGAAAAACTCAGTATGTCATTAGTAACTGTGCTTCTCCATACTATGTCAGCTTAAATGTGATCTCTAAAATCATTATTAAGACCTGAACTAATGGGGCGCCTGGGTGGCTCAGTGGGTTAAGCCGCTGCCTTTGGCTCAGGTCATGATCTCAGGGTCCTGGGATCGAGTCCCGCATCGGGCTCTCTGCTCAGCGGGGAGCCTGCTTCCCTCTCTGTCTCTGTCTCTCTCTCTCTGCCTAAATCTCTGTCTACTTGTGATCTCTCTGTGTCAAATAAATAAATAAAATCTTTAAAAAAAAAAAAAGACCTGAACTAATATTTCATTTAGTTAATTAATGAGTCATTTGGGGAGATGTAGCCAATTTCTAAGTGGATATAAATTCACAAAGATAGGGAATACAAAAACACTAAGTCACTATGTGTAATTTTAGTATTTTTCTCTTGCCTCTTATTGTTCTACATAATGGAATGGCCATTAATTGAGAAGGACTGGCATGCATCTGGGCCACGCTGGTGTACAGATTCACTTCCTGCCACATGTGGAGATACAAAGGGATATAGAGATTGTATGAAAACACAAGCTGTCAAGGTGTCTTTTCCAGGAACCCTGACAAACTTGGGGAATCTCAGGGAAGGAAGCATATGACCACAGGTACAGGCTTTGCATGGGAAAGCTGGCAGAGGCGAAACAGAGCATTCCTGGTTCTCAATGGACAAACTAATAAGGACAATACAAATACGTCTGGCACATAAATGATCAAATTATGACTCCTAAGGCTTTATGAAACCCCCAGGCAGAAGTCAGCTCCCAAGGCTTAACACCACATGACCCTACATACAGAAGAGCTATGTGTATTAATTACCAGCAATTACACAAATATAAATAAAACCAGCAAGATGAATAAGATGTTAAATTAATAGACATAGAAGCAGAAAGTGGCTGAACAAAATTCAGGTGAGCAGACACACGCCTCTGAGGCAGGATTTGGGGGGTGTCCCAAATACCTCACCTGTGCCACCATAATTACCAAGCATCGCATACCACAAAGGAAAAAAAACTAAAATCAAAACAAAACAAACAAACAAAAAACCCCCACAAAATCAAATATCATCTTGTAGAGGAGAAGCAAGATAGCAGAGGAGCAGGAGACCTGAATCAGGGCCCAGGAGTTCAGCCAGACAGTCATTAAACCATTCTGAACACCTACAAACTCAACAGGAGATTGAAGAGAAGAAAAGCAGCAATTCTAGGAACAGAAAATTGACCACCTTCTGAAAGGCAGGAAGTGCGGAGAAGTAAATCCGAAGCCACTGGAAGATAGACCGCGGGGGGAGGGGCCGGCTCCCAGCACGTGATAGAGCAGAGCACAAAATCAGAACTTTTAGAAGTCTGGTCCACTGAGGGATGTCACCCCCAGAAGCTAAGTGGGGGCGGAGCCCTTGCAGAGACACTGTGGTCTCAGGACCCTTGGGGTCACGGGAAGACGGGGGTGTCTGAGTGTGGCAAAGCTGCCAGGTATCGGACCCAGGAAGCCTGCCTCAGAGTTGGAGCCAAGGTCAGGGTTCTCAGCTCAGGATTACCTTAAACCGGGATGAGCCAGCAGGGGATGCACAGGTTGTAGACCCCTGGATCTGGGCAGATCCTTTCTCTTCCAGGAAAAGCAGCGTGTGAGCACGCTGAGACTCCAAACGGGGCCAAGTGCCAGAGACAGAAACACTCGGTCACAGGCCGGGTGAGCATGGACCGCCGCCAGAGAACAGGGAGACAGGAAAGACTAATGGCTTTTCTCTGAGGGAGCACTGAGGAGTGGGGCCCCAGCTCTCCGCTCCTCTGGCTGGAGACTGGGAGGCCGCCATTTTCATTCCTGTTCTCCAGAGCTCTACGGAAAGCGTTCAGGGAACAAAAGCTCACGAGAGTGAACCTGAGCAGATTACTTAGCCTGACCCCTGGCAAAGGCGGTGCAATTCTGCCTCAGGCAAAGGCATCTGAGAATTACGGAAACAGACCCCACTCCCAGAGGATCAGCAAGAACATCCAGCCAAGACCAAGTTCACTGATCACTGAGAACTGTGAAACTCCAGAGCTAGAGGAAAGAAATACACAGAATTCATCGCTTATTTCCCATGATTCTTTAGTCTTTCAAAGTTAAATTTTTTCAAGTTTACTTATTTTCTTATTCTATTTAATTTTTCCTCTTTCCTACTTTAACATTTTAAACTGTTTTATTAAAAATCTTTTAATTTTATCTTTTTAAAAATCTTTTTAAGTTTTAAATTTACCCCTTCCTTATATTTAACCTTATTTTTTGTATACATATAGGTTTTTCTTTAAAATTTTGGGATACAGTTTCTTCTAATGGATCAAAATATACTCTAAATCTAGTACATGGCTTTGTTCTAGTCTCCAGCCTGGTCACATTCTTCCATCTTTTTTTTTTCTTTTTTTAGCCAACTTCTTATCAATTCCTTTTTTAGAATCTTTTAAAATTTTCATCTTTACAGTCATATTCCATCCCTTCATCATGTTTACCCTTATTTTATTTATATATATATATATATATATATATATATATAAAGTTTTTCTTCCTTTAAAATTTCAGGAGGTAGTTTCTTCTAATAGACCAAAATACAGCCAAAATCACGTGTGTGATTTAATGCAATCCCTATCAAAATACCATCTTTTTTTTTTTTTCAAAGAAATGGAACAAATAATCCTAAAATTTATATGGAACCAGAAAAGACCCCAAATAGCCAGAGGAATGTTGAAAAAGAAAACCAAAGCTGGTGGCATCACAATTCCAGACTTCAAGCTCTATTACAAAGCTGTGATCATCAAAACAGTATGGTACCAGCACAAAAACAGACACATAGATCAATGGAAC